CTAATAAAAAAAAAAGCTAAAGGAGTTCATCACTGCCAAACCAGAATTATATGAACTGCTGAAAGGGGTTATTTCGGAAGAGAAAGTAAATAAAGATAAAAATTATGAACAACAAATACGTAACTATCAACAAGTGAATCTAAAAACTAAGGGAATTAAAAAAAAATCTGATGAACAATATTAACTGTTGAATATAATAGAATCAGAGGTATGGAAGGGGAGTGAACTGACAATTCTTGGGGAAAAGAGGAGAGGGGGGTGTGGGAAGGGACTGAACATAAACTGTGCACCTATGGATGAGGACAATGGGGGGTGGGGAAAGGGCAGAGGGTGGGGTGGGAACCTGGTGGAGGAGAGCAACGGAGGGGGGGAAAGATGAGGAACATTTGTAATAATATGAACAATAAAGATTTATTAAAAAAAAAAAAAAGTTGTACAGGATTAGAGTGGACCCTAAATCTAATATTTGGTGCCCTTATATGACAGGTACATGAAAAGGAAAGAAGGTGTTGTGAAGATAGGAGATCTCTCTGTCTGTCTCTCTCTCCTACTCCCTCACTCTCCTCCTTATTCCCCCAGGCGAGTTTTTTTTTTGCTTTCTTTCTTCTAAACTCCAACAGCCCTTCTTTGGCCTCTGTGACTTGTTTCCCAAGCCCACACAGCCCAGCTGACTCACCTCTTCCATGGCTCACTTCTTCTCCCTCTGTAACTTTATAAATAAATTTTTGCTTGTAAAAGCAAATAAAATACACCTACTAACCAAAGAACTCCAAGGGTTGCCAGCAACCTCCATAAGCAAGGAGAGAAACAGGGAACAGAGTATACAGAAGGAACCTTGACCTCAGATTCTTAGCCTCCAGAACTACAAAGGGATAAATTTCTGTTGTTAGAAGCCACCCACTTTGTAGTGATTTGCTTCAGCAGTCCTGGGATACTATTAAACCAACCAATGTAAAAATACAAAAAAAAGAAAATTTATCTGAAATAAAATCTAAGGAAAAGCAAACCATGCTCCAGGAAAATGGCAAACAAACCACCTAATTCTTTGACAGATCCCAATTAAGCTACTGAATTACAAGAAAAGAAATCTGGGCCTCCATTTTCAACATAAAAAACAAGAAAAAGAAAATCAATAAAGGCTATAGATTTAACAGTTAATTACCAAGCTTGATATGATGAACATATTCACACATCAGAAAACTATATGTTCTTTTCAAATACACATTTATGAAAACATATGGTGTTATATTGTAAATCAGTAAGTGGAATATAGGACACCTTAATGAGCCAATTAGTTAGGAGTCTTTATTACATGCGAGTTTAGAGCAGAATATCTCTGTCAAATTCTGAGCAAAAATCATGGAGGAAGCTTTCCCTATTTATATGCTTCCAGTTCTTTGTCTCTTCCAGTTTCTTGGTTCCGGACATTCTGCAGACTTTACAAAGAGCTTTGTGTAAGTTATTTTTTGCAGACAGCTTATAACCTTGAGTATAGTACATAACTAATAGGGAGTAGTACCAGCCTCTTACATCAGATGGCTAGCCTTCAAGGTCAGACAGCTAACTTTATCTTTCCTATTACTCATTTAAGCTAAAAAAAATTAACAGTTAATTTACAGAATAAGGGACTGTCTAAAAAATAACTGAGTTGACTACATAGAACAAGGGATCATTTAAAAACAGCAGAAAATTTTAAACAGTGATTTTACAAAATAGAGATTATTATGCTTCAACAGGACCATAATGTAAGTACCAAAAAATCTAATAGCCCGGCTCAGTGGGGGAGTGTCAACCCAAGAATCAAGAGATTAAGGACCCATTCCCTGTCAGGGCACATGCCCAGGTTGTGGCTTGATCCCCAGAAGGGCTCATGCAAGAGGCAGACAATCAGTGATGTTTCTCTCTCACTGATGTTTCTATCTCTCTATCCCTCCCCCTTCCTCTCTCTCTAAAAATCAATAGAAATATATTTTTTAAAAAGCTGATCAACAGTATTTATAAGCATCATTAGTGGTAAAAAAAAAAAAAAAAAAGTGCAATATACCATGTTCAAGAAAAGGAGTACCCAGCCAGCTGGCATGGCTCAGTGATTGAACATGAACCTATGATCCAGAAGGTCACAGTTCAACTCCCTATCTGGGCACTCTCTCATTTTTGATGCTCCTATCACTCTCTCCCTCTCCCTTCCTCTTTAAAATCAATAAAAGTATATTTAAAAAGAAAAAAAAGAGTACCCAAAATTCAATATTCTAAATATCAATTTTCTACCAAATTGAGCTTTGCATTTAATGTAATCCCAAACTAAATCTTAACAGGGTTTAGGGGAAATTGGAAAACTGATTAAAAATTTTATACAATAATACAGAGACAAAAAAAAAAAAAAAAAAAAAGTCTTCTTATTCCTAATGAATAAGGTAAGCCCTAGCCAAGAAGCTCAGTTGATCAGAGCATCATCTCGATACCCCAAGATATATAGTACCCAGTCAAGGTACATACAAGAAACAACCAATGAATGCATAAATAAGTGGGACAACAAACTGATCTTTCTCTTTCTCTCTCTTTCTCTTCCCCCTTATTCCCCTCCTTCTTGTTCTCACTCTTTCTCCCCCTTCCTCCCTCTCTCCAAAAAAAAATAATTATTATTATTTTTAAAAAGAATAAGAGGACTTATCCCACTAGATTCCAAGACTTATAAAAATATAATAATTAAGACAGTGTGGTAATCATAGGAGAATCAACAAGTATACCAATGAAACAGATCAGAGAGCCCAGAAACAAGCACACGTAAGTTGAAACTGATGATGGCTGGCACTGCAGATCAGATACCCTCATCAATATATGCATATGCTCTTGGGACAACTGATTATCCATATAAAAAAAAAATGGATCCCTCCCCACACTACACACAAAAATCAACTGCAGAAGGATATAGGGCCTATGAGAGAAAGGGAAAACTTCTAAAAGAAAATACAGGGAAGGGCTCAGTCTTCCTCCCCTCTCCCCTCTCCCCCTCTCCCCTCTCCCCCCTCTCCCTCTCCCTCCTCTCCCCTCTCCCTCCTCTCCCCTCTCCCTCCTCTCCCTCTCCTCCTCTCCCCTCTCCCCTCTCCCCTCTCCCTCCTCTCCCCTCTCCCCTCTCCCCTCTCCCCTCCCCCTCCTGTCCCCTCTCCCCTCTCCTCTCCCTTCTCCCCTCTCCCCTCTGCCTTCTGCCTTCCCCTCCTTCCTCTTTCCCTCCCTCTCCCTCCCTCCCCCCCTCCCCCCCCTCTCCTTCTCCTTTCCTTCCCCCTTTGCTTCCTTTCTCTTGAGCTCCAAGGGTCCTTCTTTTGCCTCTGTAACTTGCTTTCCTTAGTCCAAAAAAATAAAAAATAAATTAATTAATTAAAATAAATTAAAAAGAAAATACAGGAAAAAGATATAATTCTTCAAGTATCCAGATGAAAAAGGAAAACTAAAAATAAGGGGAGGAGGGGAGGATCATATTTGTCTCACACAACTTTTAATACCAGAAGACGATGGAGTAATGACAAAGAAAGTATGAACCATATATATATATATATATATATATATATATTTTTTTTTTTTTTTTTTTTTTTTTTTTTTTTTTGCATCCCAGCTGGTTTGGCTCAGAGGATAGACCAAAGGGTCCCGGGTTTGATTCCGGTCAAGGACCCGTACCTTGGCTGCAGGCTCCTCCCGACCCTGGGCTCTGATCAGGGCATGTGCAGGAGGCAAACCAATCGATATTTTCTCTCACATCAATGTGTCTCTCTGTCTTTCCCTCTCTCTTCCACTCTCTCTAAAAGATCATGGAAAAATATCCTCAGGTGAGAATTAACAACAACAAAAAATACACAAATATATATTTTGCAAGACAAGCTGTCATAATAGACAGACATCCTCGAAAATTAAAATTCAGGGAACCTAGAACCTAGCAGAAAACCATCTTACCAAAATTATTTAACAATGAAATACAGAAACTGAAACCTGACTCAAAGAAAGAATTCATGAGTGAGCATGCCATGATAAAAGAACTGATGGTGAGATAAGTACTGAATTAATTTACTTTCTGAATTCGATTACAAACAATTACAGAAATCTAAGATTGGAGAACAGTATGTTAAGTGTTCAAACATGAGCTATGAAAAAAACAGCAATTTAACAACAATCCAGTCTTAAGAATGAGGAGATGGGAAGATGTGAGTGTTGAATTCTTTCAGACAAAAACAAACAGAATTGTCTAACATTGAAACCAAAGTGGAAATGTTGTTTTTAACAATTAGCACAAATGTTTAGGGTTGGTACTATCTAACGTTGACAAAGACACTGGAAAATGGACCTTCTTCCCACACTGTTAGTGGGAGAGTGAATAGGTATAAAATCTAAGTAGACAATTTGGTGAGATGTATATAAATTTTGAATACATGTTTATTAAATACACAATTCCTAATCTATCTCCAAAATCTGTATGAATTTGCCTTCTCCCCAGCCTATTTTGGCTAAGCGCAAAGACTCTGGCAAAACCACCACAAAAATCAATCAGAGACAAAAGGTGAATGAAAGGAATAAATTATCTCTATCACTCATTCTTTCTCTTCTTTGGTTTACATTATTAACTCTTTTTTAATTAATTTTTCTACATTTAATTAATCAATATTACAAAGTGTCCATGTTTCATACCACCTCATAACATCCAGGAGTATCTATAAAAGAGGGGATTGTTAGCTTCTTGAAGGCAGAATCCAGATCTTATTTTCATGCAAAAGTCTATAGAATGTAATGTAGTTATCAATTACAAGGTAGTTTTAAGGTGCATCAATTTATTTTAACAATTCTATAGGGGGGGGGGAAATTACCCAAAGGAAATAGGTTATTACACAACTTTGTTGGTTATATGTTATGACACTCCAGACAGAAGAACTGGGCTCAAAATTTAAATATGCTTAACCCTAGCTCAAGGTTGTTTATACACTGCTTTTGAAATAACCTGGTTCGTTTGACTATACCTGTTAGCCAAACTGTGCAACCACGAAAGCCACCTCTGGTCCCCACCACCTGGCCTCTCTTGTTCCTGCTGACATGATGAGCTTGATAGGTGACATTAGTTGCTCTCTGCATCCCCTGGAAAAAGGGGGGGGGGGGGAGAGAAGAAAGAATTCTTGTTCACTTGAATTGTTCAAAAGATAAGCATATGGATTTTGTAAAGGAACATCTTTCCATCCAGCTCTTCAACTTCCAAAGATAGTCTTTTCTAAAATCTGCCTGAGAGGTGCCTAAGGTTCAAGATCTCTTTCCACATCTCCCCGTTCCCAGTACCCTGCAGTATACAGGAGGGGAAGGCATCTCTGCCCATCTGAGCCTTGCTATCACTCATTGCCCACATACACAGTTGGACAATTCTTTTAATAGGCACACCACAAACATCACCCCAACCCATCCCCACTGATCACCTCATTAATAGATGTATTTACAATATCCTATATAATAAAAGGGTAATACACAAATGGACTGAATGGCAGAACAACCAAACCACCAAAGTGTAATATGATAATGATATACTAAGGTTGCTCAACTGCTCGCTATGACGTGCACTGACCAGTAGGGGGCAGATGCTCTGACTGAGGGAGATGGGCCAGACACACCCCGGGGTCCTCCCACAGTCCCTCCCTAGACCAACTGTGCACCGGTAGGGTCCTTGAGCCTGGCCTGCATCCTATCGCAATCCGGGACCCCTCAGGGATGTCGGAGAGCTGGTTTCAGCCTGATCCTACAGGCCATTTTCCTTGGGAGGGCCACAGATGCAGGGCTCATGGCTGGAGGCCACAGCTTCTCCCCTTCGGGACTCTTTGGGCACAAGCCCAAGGCAGGCACAGTGAGGATAGGATGAGCGGGAGGGGCAGGTAGGAGCTGCAGTCGGCGTTGACTGAGGGGTTTCAGCCCAATCCCTGCAGGCCACCCAGAGGGACCCCTGAGCTGTGCACAAATTCGTACACCGGGCCTCTAGTATATTTATTTGTTCAATAACCACTTATAAAAATTTTAATATGAGTCTCCCAACCCATTTCTTTCTAATAAGCTGATGAAGCAAACATAACTTTCCAGCTCTGCACTTCCAATGTCTTAAACAAAGTACAGGCTTCCAAACAGACATCTGCATCTCTCGGAAGCAGAGACACCTCCTCCTGTTTTAGCTCCCAGGCAGGCTGCCTGAGGAGGAGAAGACAGGAAATGGAGGAAGCAACAAGGAGGGTGCCTACAAGTTAGTTTCCTATAATTGCAAAACAGGTTTAACTAGGTCATTTTATTTGGGGAAATTTTTCCAAGTGCTTTGGGGCAAAAAGAAACATGTATCTGGATGAATTTTAATTCATTTTAGCCCTATACCATGTCTTCTGCTTTCCTTAGTAAACTGAGTAGAATGTATAAAAAATATCTGACGAGCAATAATCTACTGAAGATATGGCTGAGAGAAAATTATAGATAAGCAGAGATCTTTTGCTTTAATCACTAGAAAAGAATGCTCCTACATTAAAAAAAAAAAAAAATCAGGCAGCAAATATGGCAGTCTGAGTATGAGAAGGCTTATTGTTTATGTATGTTTGGTATTTTCCAATAAAAAAATAAACTTTAAAAAAAGGGTGTGCCACATTTTCCTTCCTACTGGTTTTTTAGAATAAATCAAAAAGCATTTTTTAAAACAACTGAAACTGCAAGGTCCTGAAAATATGCTTGAACTACATAAAAGCACTAAAGGCCACTTCCATGTGCATTCTTCTTCTCACTCCCCTCCCCCCTTTCTTTTCCTTCTCCACCCATTCTAAATAAATCCTTCCTATAATTCTAACAGAAAAATATAACATGAGTGACTCACTAAGGACCAAGAGTGAGTTAAGTTAGTATTTCCTTTTGATTCTACATTCCTCGTCTTTGTCTTCAATGGCTTAGTTACGTGTTATAGACCCTGTAATATGTACTACCGGAGTCATTATTTATTTATAGACCCTTTAATACTTTTAGATGTCTTTTTGTGCATATATTTTGACTTGCTTGAGGAGACAGATCAGACGCCCTGAGTGACATACGGTCCTTTGTTTTTTTCCATAATGCCCATCTTCTCTTCTTGTGCCTTGCCAGTATTCAGTAAAAGTTAGATACAAGGCATTTATTTTACAGCATGTTTTCTTTTCTCTGCATAACATGCAAGTGAAATGATGACTAACATTCCGGAATCTTAAATCCAGCAGAACTAGGCAATTCATTTTCAAAGAATTCACGACTAAATGACTATCAGTCCTGTTGCCGGGCTAGACAGAGTCACATGGCCTCTGATATTCCACTGTACCTTTGCTACACATTCTACAGACTGCTGTCCTCATCACACACACAAGTGGCCCTGTGCTCCTTTCTGACCCACCTTAATTTCCACGTGAGCTGTTTTGTTATTTTAGCCACTCCCTATGGGGCAAACTAAGTTTTCCTACCATGGCATATAGAGACTTCCATGCTTTGTGACTTTATTTTAATTTTATAAAGAGCCCCACATTAAGTGAAATTTGTAAAGGCCCAGAGCATATTCCAAATATCAAGAATAATTCAGGACCTGCACTTCTCTCACTCATCCCACAATCTACCTTAAACTGACTGCTAAAGAGAATTCCTGCAATGGTAACAGGCACATTCCTTTTGTGTGCAAAGACATAATTTGGATAACACTGAAGAGACAGTAATATACAATAAGAAGAAACCCTTAGTTCACAGAGTTATTGATGACTGAAACCTTTAGTTCAGTTACTGATAACTGAAATTAGTTTTTGAACGATACCAAGCCAAACAGCAAAGGTGGAGACCATACATTCCTGAAGGTTGAGAAAACTTGAGATGGCTACACTTAAGCCTTGCGAATACATGCATGAGTGGCAACACGGATTGCATGGCAGGAAGCAGATCTCTGGCCCTAACCCAAACCTCCAAATGACCAGCATGTTTATATGATCACCATCAACTGTTATGCATGCTATTGCACATATATTTTATCTCCACAACTTTTGTTTTAAGATTTAAAATATTTAAATATTTACTTAATAGAATATATATATATATATATATATATATATATATAATCTATTAAGTAAATCTATATATACCTTCCTTCAACAGAAGGGCCCCTGGACAACCTCTAGGTGGGGAGCCCAGCCCTAAAAGATTCCTAGAAGTCAGAAATGAGTCTGGAACTATACCTGTTCATTCATTCAGTATTGTTGATTGATCCCTTCGAGATACTGGGGATAAAAGAGGACAAACATTTCAGGGAAGGGCACCAACTACAAACAGATAAAGAACTCATGACACGGTGACAGACCCTTGTCTCAACCATGAAGACAGCAGGACAGTCCCCACACACGAAGGGATTTCAGACGCTGGCAGCCAACAGCTCACTAACTTCTACCGGAAAGATTGAAATTAACTATTACAACCATAAGTGCACAGAAAACTAATACACAATTGCTCACAGCAGCATTATTTGTAATAGCCACAGGTAGAAATAACTCAAATGAACAAAAGGTGATATATCCATATAATGGAAAATTCCACTATATAAAGGAGTGAACTACTGATACATAGTACAACGTGAATTAACCTTGAAAACAGTATGTTAAGTGAAAGAAAACACAGACAAAAGGTTACATTTATTTATTATTTCATTTATAGGAATCTAGAACAAGGAAATCCAAAGACACAAAGTGTATTATTGGATGTCAGGGGCTGGAGGTGGGAGGGAGCAGAAAGGTAGGGAATGATTAATGGGTATAGGGTTTCCATTAGGGGTGATGAAAATATTCTCAATTTATATATTGGTGATGGTTGCACAACTCTGTGAATATACAAAGACACAATGAATTGTACACTTAGCACAAAAGAGAGATAAAGACAAAGGGAAGGGATGCAAACTTCAAAGAGAGAATAAGAGAAAGCAACCTAATGACTGCATTCTTCTGAAGTTAGAAAATGAACTTCTATAAAATAATGTCTAATATTTCACTAGTTTGACTCACTTAAAACTTATTTGGTAAAGAAAGAAGTATTAACTTTTCATTTGAAGTAATTACTTAGTAATATGTTTTTAAAATAATTCAGGGTTGGAATTTTATTATTGGTATGCTATGGGTAATTGATCCAACTCAGAGCAAGAGATGGTAACTTCCAAGTGGGTGAAAAAGAGAATTCTAGCATCAATTGGATTTTTATTTTAAATTACTACTTTTGCATTTAAGTTTTACATAACATTTTCCCCTTTTGCAAAGTCAAAGCCAAGAGTAAAGCAGACTTTCTCAACTTCATAAATAATAACTTTCTGGCCCAGACAATCTACTGTTGAAGCTATCATGTGCATGTAGAATGTTTAGCAGCATCCCAAGCCTCTACTCGCCAGATGCGCAGGGGTACACACACGTATACACACACACACACACACACACACACACACACACACACAACCAAATATGTCTCCAGATATTGCAAAGTGTTCCCAGGGGGGTGGCAAAATTTTATCTGGTTGAAAACCACTGGTAAAGACCTAAACCTCAAAATTCTATGTAACAAAGCCAGGCTGGGGAAGTTTATTTCACATTTCAAATTTAGAGAAGTAACTGTGCTAAGGGAAGGGCTAACAGTGCTGGGTGCCCTGTGAGGGGCCAGAGCTCAGAATTGCCTAAAATCCTGATAGAAGTCATTACCTCTTGAAATTTCCTTGCCCTGGTCAGAAAGTAAAGATAAGACTACGAATACGAGTATACTTAGGTAAGTAGGAAAAATGTTGGCATCCACCCCAAAGTGACTACCTAGACCTGCCCTGCTGTTCTGAGATGATGAAAATGGTCTATACTGCATGTCCAATACAGTGGTCAGTAGCTACTTGAGGCAACACTGCACTTGAAATGTGGCTAGAGAAACTAAGAAACAGAATTTTTTTATTTTATAACTTTGGCTGAATTTAACTTGCCACAGGTGGCTAGTGGCTATCAGATTGTAAAATACAGAGCTAGACCTTGCTATCATTCTTTTTACTGTTGTTGTTAGTCAACATTAAAGAGTACATTCTTTGTGCCCTAGGCAGTGTGGCCCAATGGATAGAGCATCAGCCTATGGACTGAAGGCCGGATTCGATTCTGGGCACAATCTTGGTTAGAGGCTCCTGGTCCTGGTAGGGGGCATGCAAAAAGCAACCAATCGATGTGTCTCTCTCACATCGGTGTTTCTTTCAGTCTCTTTTTCCCTGCCAATCTCTCTAAAAATCAATGGAAAAAAATACTGTCAGAAAAAAGAGAAGAAAAAAAAAAAAGAGTACATTCTTGGTAAAAAAAAAAAAAAAAAAAAAAAAAAAAAAAAAAAAACAAACCCAGCTTTTCCTCTTTGGGCAACTATTCCTACAATATCTCCCTGGCTTCTGGAATGGGAAGATCAATATCTACCCCTGACAAGAGCGAGGCCCATGCTCCAAAGAATGACTTATACGGGCCTCTCGGTTGGCCTTCAATATGCTGTGTGTGCCATTTCTGCACTCCTGTCTCATTTTTGTGCTACTTCAGTCTCCCCCCAAGTTCAGAACAGGCAGCTGCCCTTCTGTGAAAGGCACCTGGCAGTATTCGGGGAGGAGGTGGGGGGGGGGGAGGAATGTTCAGAAAAGGTATAAGTAGCAACAAGGAAAATTATCTCCTTCATTTATTTGTTTCTTTTCAATTAACTGTCTCTCAAGTAGAATGTAACACCCATGACAGCAGAGCCCCTTTCTGTTGTTTTACCACTGCATCCCAACCTGTAGAACAAGGCATGTCGCAAGCATACCTCAGGGATATCTCGGGTTTGGTTCCAGGCTACCACAATAAAACCATAACAGAAATGTCTGGTTTCGCAACATACATAAAAATTATCTTATACTACAATGCAGTCTATTTAGTGTGCGAAAGCATTATGTCTAAAAAAGAACCTGCATAACTAATTTAGAAATACATTATTGCTAAAAATGGTAACCATCAACTGAGTCTTCAGTGAGTGATAATCTTTCTGCTGAAGGAAGAAGGTCTTACCTCAATGTTGATGAAATCAGTATCTGTGAAGTGCAATAAAATGAGGTATGCTTGTAATTCATTTAAACCTCACTATAACCCTGTCTGTTTTCCAGGGCTTCCACATCGGGAACAATGTCTAATTTCTCCATCACCCGGTCTTCCTGGAACACCAGTCTTATCATGCAATAGGAACATTAAAGGTGTATGAGTTCTTCAAATTTGTGTCAATCTCAATCCTGGAAATATGGTGGGTGTTCCCTACTGGGGCAAAAAAAAGACTTAATAGACCCAGAAAATTAAAAATTCTAGCCTCATCAAAAATCTCCCACAGAATGCCAGGCCAGTGTGGCTCAGCAGTTGAGCATCAACCTATGAACCAGGAGGTCACGGTTCCATTTCCCGTCAGGGCAGCACATGCCTGGGACCCATAGTATGGGGCATGCAGGAGGCAGCCGATCGATAATTCTTTCTCATCATTGATGTTCCTATCTCTTTCTCTCTCCCTCCCTTCTTCTCTGAAAACAATAAAAATATATTTTTTTTAAATGTAATAATAAAATAAAAATTTTTTTAAATCTCCTACAGAATCAAGTCTTAACACTGGGAGCAAACATTAACAACTGCATAACCTAATCCTAGCCAGTTTGGATAACTGGATAGAGCATCGGCATGCGGACCAAAGGGTCCCAGGTTCGATTCTGGTCAAGGGCACATACCTTCGTTGCAGGTTCCTCCCTGGCCTGGGTCCTGGGTAGGATGTATACAGGAGGCAACCAATCGATGTGTTTCTCTCACATCCATGTTTCTCTCTGCCTTTCCCTCTCTCTTCCACTCTCCCTAAAAACCAATGGGAAAATATCTCTGGGCGAGGATTAACAAAAACAACTGCATAACATAGTCCCAGCTTCTGGAATTTTATCTCCACTCCTCAATAAAAACTCTCCAGAGTAAACTGTTAGTTAGTCTTAGAATAAAAAATAATTCTTATTCCCAGCCCTTATTCACACAGCTCCCCTCTCCCTCAGAAATGTGGGCACATTTCTCTTTTGTAAACCCTCCCCAAAACACCAAGGCTAAATTAATCTCTCCTCCAAATTGCAAAAAATAAATAAAATAAATAAATTTCAAAATGACAAACTTATCACCTGGCAAAGTCATTTACAATCCCAATCAGGCCATGAGCAACCAGAAATGCAAACAGTGCGTCCCTCATTTTTCATCTTTTCTATGTCTGGCACAGGTCTCTACAAAAAATATTCACTTATTTGGCAAATGGAATAGTAAATAAATGAGCAACAGATGGTGTAACTGAAATTACCTTTAAATACTTTAACAGAGTCCCCTATTACCCTAACCAGGAAATACTCAAGATAACAGGAGCAGAGTGGACAGTTTCATGACACTTCCTTGTACTTTTTCAAATGCATTACCTCCTTTACTCTTCGAAATAACCCTGTAAGGTACACACTGTCATACCCTTCTTTAGTCAGCTGAGGTTTAAAAGAAGTAAAGTTATTTTCCTCAAGATCACACGCTAGTGAAAAGGCCAAGCTGGTGTCAGAGACACCAGGCCAGTAGTCCAGTAAGTGCTCTTTCCAATGTTCTAACTCGCCTTCCCTTAACACCTAAGGAAAAGACAATATCTACAAGGAGAAAGGAAGCAGGTGAGCCTCCTGGGCAAAGACAGACCCGGAAAATGACTGGCTGCAGATGAGCATCTGCCTGAAACGATTTGCAAAGGCTGCCTGTAAACCTCATGGCTTCGTTGTGCTGTGAGATAAAAATGCCCACCTACACCTAAAACCAGCGCCTTTCCAAAGAGCCAGATTGGACACCATCTCCCCACCCTACCCAGAAAAGCACTAACGCGTTTGAATTAAAGGCTGTTTCTTACCAAAGAAGAAGGAAGGAAGCAGCCTACAGGACGACACACCACCCACCCGACCCTCAAAGCCAGCTGGCAGTCGCTGCTAAACCTTATAACCCATTCCGTCTCCCCACACCTTGCTGTCTCCAGGAATTGAGTCTTAAAAACTCCCATGTAATGTTAGCCATTCCATTTTAACACCGAGCCACAAAGAAGCTCAGTTTAGCGAATTCTCAGCCCATGAATGGATACATTGTTGGGCACTCTCTCTGCCCACTGAAGCGCAGACATGGAAAGACTTGGAAATGGACACACACACACACACACACACACACACACACACACACACACACACACGACCCTGGGTAACCGCGCTGGCGGAGCCAAGAGAAACCAGCCAGGAGCAGCACGCCCCGAGACGCCCGCCCGCCCCCGCCTCCTCTGCAGACCGTCACGCCACGCCAGGGGATGCAACCAGCTCGCTCCCCTCCGGAGGTGCCGGTTTCCGCAGCCGCCGGCTCTTCTCGGCAAAGACTTTACGTCGAGGTCTATCGGAGCCGAGGAACCGGGGAAGAAGAGGACGTTGTTCCCACGGAGGGGGGTGGTGGGACGCCACGTAGCCCCCGACCCGCGCCCCGCACCACCCGCCCACCACCCCGGCTGCAAGGCGCCGCGGCCTCTGGTACCCATCCCCGGCGCCCCGGGGAGGATGCAAAGGGAGGCGGAAGGCAGGCAGGGGCTCCGGAACCAGCCTCCTCCGTCCCCACTCACCCAGTTCTGCACGTTGTTGCTCAGCTTGACTTTCTTGTACAGGCTCCCGGGCACCTCCATGGCCGCAGAGCGCGCGCGGGTGCCGGGATCTTCAGAGTCAGGAGGCCGACAGGAGCAGGGAGGGCCGGCGGGGCGGGGGCGGGGGCGGGGACGGGGGCGGGGCGGGAGGCGGGGTCACCTAGCGCTGGCGCACGCGCGCACGCGCGCCGCCGACGTGCGCTCGTGCTCGCGGCTCCTGCCGCCCGCGCGCACGCGCATCAGCTGCCGCTCCGGCTGGTCCCGGGCAGAGGTACGCGGGGGCGGGCGAAGCGGAAGGCGGGACAATGGAAGGTGGGGGCGTGGCTTCGAGCGCCCACGAGGCTCCTCTAGTCTCTTTGCTCTCAGGAAGGGACCGGGCCTGGGAAGAGAACCAAGGGGCGCCGAGGCCTGCCGGCCTGCCTTGCGCTGCGCCTGCGCGGGGGCCGGCCTGCCTCCTGGGGAATGGCTACTGGCTCTCTGGGGCCAGTGCTCTTGGGAGAAGACATGGATGGGAAATCCTGCCCTTCTGGCTTTTCCTCCATACACCAGGCTCCCAGCCTCGTGTCCACCAAATCTGTGCCCTTGTTAGCCAAGACACGTTTAAAAATGGATATATATATATATATATATATATATATATATATATATATATATTTTTTTTTTTTTTTTTTTTTTTTTTTTTTTTTTACCAGAACCGGTTTGGCTCAGTGGATAGAGCCTCGGTCTGTGGACTGAAGGGTCCCAGGTTCGATTCCGGTCAAGGGCATGTATCTTGGTTGCGGGCACATCCCTGGTAGGGGGTGTGCAAGAGGCAGCTGGTCGATGTTTCTCTTTCACTGATGTTTCTAGCTCTCTATCCCTCTCTCCTCCTCTCTGTAAAAAATCAATAATATATATATATTTTTTTTAAAGGGATTTTTTCCATTCTTGCAAAGGGAAAGATTGGTTCACTGAACTTACTTTCCAAAAGTTCCTCTTCACTTTAACCTTCTGCTCAACGTATGATTAAGTTTACAGAATTGATGCGCCCTTTCTGGACATCCATAATTACTATCTCGACTGGGCTTAAAGGTTATTTGCAAAGTGTCCTCCTTCCCCACTATCACGGAGAAAATCTAATGGCCTAAGCTGCTAAGAGAGTCAAACAGTCAGGAGGCTGGTAGGGAAGTGGGACCTATGAACACTGTGCCTCGGTTCTCAGAGTTGCCACAAGTCACTAACCTCTGCTCCAGGCTGAGCCAAAAACATTCTAGAGCAACTGCTGCATGGAAATGCTTGGACTCTCCTTCCTCCTTGTAGTTTTTCCCTCCCTCATTTGCATACTGGAACAATCCATCCCTGTGAACCTATCTTTCATTTTCATGGAAGGATTATGCTGTGGTTTTTGCCTTTATAAACCTCGCCTTTCTTTGTTCTCTCCGGAGCAGTTTGAGGTGCGCCCTGAATCTACATCTCTCAGATTCCAAAAAAATAAATCCTTTTGTTTGTTGTTGTTGTTACAGCCTGAATCTCTCCTTTGGTTAACACCCACTTGGAAACCTCTCTTCACATCAGATTTCTGTCCAGTACTTCTCACTGACTAGGCTGAAAACATGCTTCTGTATTATTAGCTTCTCAGGAACTCCTTAGAGGACTGAAATGCAGGCTTAAGAGGGCTGCGTGTTACCAGTGGGGAGAATGCCCGGCGGTGAAGAACATTTTCAAATTCACCCAGTTATTGCAGGGCTAATCCATACGATGAGCTAGAGGGTGTGGGGGAGCTTCCTCCATGAGTTATCTCCTCTCCCATCGCCATTACTCTTAGGGCTTCCCTGCTGCTTGCCCTGGCACCAAGATAGTTATGTGAAGCTCTGCTCCCCCATACCCAAAACCCTCTCCCCTCAATACACACACCCCAATCTCTAAAACCTGAAGCTGCTACCTCTTGATAGCTAGCAAATAAGTCCCCTGTTTATTTGCTAGACTGCCACTATCTCAAATTAGGCTTTTCCTGTATCCAACCTGAATCACAGCTAAGCCCCTTAACTGTACATCTTCCCACCCAGTGCAGCTCTCTTCCACTCACAACGTTCTTAAAGCTTCTGTCAGAGTGATATTTCTAAAAGAGAAATTTGGTCTTGTTACTAGGCCAATTACAATGTCTGTGATTTCTTATAGCTTTTTCTACAGGATTCTTAATCAAGGATCTGTATGCAGAATTGAATCTCAGTATAATTCTGAATTCTGCCAATGATAGCGATGAGCTTGGAAGAGCATCCAAGCTTCAGATAATTGAACCAAAGACAAACGTCATCTTTAAGTACCTCACTATATGTAAAACATTGTGTTAAAATTTTTGATATGTTAAATGAGTAGTGACTAATGGGAAGCAGCGCCAAACACCATGTGTATTCTTTTCCCTAGATTCTTTCAGCATAATTATGAGGAGATTTATCTATGTTCCTGTGCATATCAATAGTTCATTCCATTTTATTGATGATTAGTATTCCATTGTACCATGTCATGCTTTTGTTAAATTGACATGCGTTAAGTAGAGCATAGGATGCTGGATAGTGAGTTGCTATTCAACAAGGGACCACAAGAGAAACTGAAATACAGAAGTGTATTACTCACAACACAGCCCACCTTAGGAGCTGCCTGGGAGGTCAGGCAGGGTGCAGACAGTGATAGACCTAAAGCATATGCCTTTATTAGGCTCCATTAATGGAGTGCTCTGGGTTCCCCAAGCTAGGGACACATTGTTCAAGTCAAGCTAACAAGAGCAGAGTTTTGAGAAGCTCCATGGGAATCGCACCTAAAAGGCAAAGGGAAAGTCTTGGAGGCAGGGGAGACTTTTGGTCACCAGAGCTGTCAAGAAAGTCATATCCAGAATTTGTATTTGCTTGTGACTCAGCAAGCTACTATCTAGAACAGCGATTTTCAACCTTTTGCATCTCACGGCACACAGAAGCTAATTACTAAAAATTCTGTGGGACACAAAAAATATATATAATTTGATTCATTTATACTGGATGACCATGGTCTTTTTCTTCTTTTTCTTTTTTCTTTTTTTTTTAATCTAAGGGAAAAGAGACCAGTGCCCCTGTCTAAGCAGTCAGGTATTGCATGTTTTGAAAATTCTTGAAGCACACTGGTTGAAAGTCCCTGATCTAGAGTATACAATTGCAAAAGAAGAGGCTAAGGCTCCCACAGGGACTTGGCAAAACAAAATGGATGCTGAAGCAGTGATATCATTGAGTAGCTTAGCTAAACTCAGCACATAGATATACCAGGATTTGTTTATTCATCTGTTGAAGGATATTTGGGTGATTTCAGTTTGGAGCTATTGCAAATAAAGTGGCCATGAACATTTACTAGCATATACAAGTCTTTGTGTGGAAATATCCTTTCCTTCCCTGGGGTAATTACCTACGAGGGGAAAGACTGGGCCTTTCGGCAGGTATATATTTAACTTTTGAAAACTGCCAAAACCATTCTCCAAAATGGTTTTACAAATCCTACCAGTAGTGCACAAGAATTGTAGTTGTTCCATATCCTTGCCAACAGTTGGTATGGTTGGTTTTTTTTGTTTTGTTTTGTTTTCATTTTAGTCACTGTAGTAGTATGCAATGGTACCACATTATGTTGTTGTTGTTGTTGTATGTGTGTGTGTGTGTGTGTGTGTGTGTGTGGTTTATCTAATTGATTTCAAAGGGGGAAGAAAGAGAAATAAAACATCAATGATGACAATCATTGGTGGCTGCCTCCAATGGAGATTAAGCCTGAAACCCAGACATCACCCTGACCAGAAATTGAACCATGACACTCAACCACTGAGCCATACCAGCCGGGCCCTCATTATAGTTTTAATTTGTTCTTCCCTAATGACAGTAATGCTAACACCTTTTCATGTGCCTTTTGGCTCCTATGTATCTTTAAGTGTCTGATCAGAACCTTTGGCCATTTTTTAAATGAGTTGTTTGTTCTCCTATTCCTGAGTTTTAAAATTCTCTATATATTCCCTGTCAAATAATTTATTGTTCATCTCTAGAAGATCAAAATGGGTCTTTTAAATATATAGATATATTTTCCCCTAGCCTAGTGGTCGACAAACTCATTCGTCAACAGAACTAAATATTAATAATACAACGATTAAAATGTTTTTGAGAGCCAAATTTTTTTAAACTTAAACTTCTTCTAACGCCACTTCTTCAACATAGACTCACCCAGGCCCTGGTATTTTGTGGAAGAGCCACACTCAAGGGGCCAAAGAGCGGCATGTGGCTCTCGAGCCACAGTTTGCCGACCACCCCCTCAGCCGGTTTGGATCAGTGGATACAGCATTGGCCCGTGGACTAAAGTGTCCACGGTTTTATTCCAGTCAACGTCCGTACTCAATCACAGCCCCAGTCAGGGCACATGTGGGAGGCAACCAATAGATGTTTCTCTTTCTCTCTCTTTCTCTGTCTCTTCCCCTCCCTTTCACTCTCCTCTTTCTCTTTCTGTCTCTCCCCCTCCCTTTCACTCTCTCTAAAAATCAATGAGAAAATATCCTCAGGTGAGGATTACAAAACATAAGTGTATATTATATGCCTCCATTTAACATAAAATCTTTCCCCTACCTGTTTGAATATATGGAACAAAACTCTTTTAATGTCTTTATCTACTAATTCTATTATCTGTGTTTACATCTCTTTGCATTGATTTTTTTTTTTCATTATGAGCCATACCTTCCCTTCTTCCTCCTCTTTACCAGACCCTGATATTATGAATTTTCACTTTGTTGAATGCTGCATGGTTTTATGTTTCTATAAATATTCTTGAACTTTATTCTGGGTCACAGTCAAGTTACTTGGAAACAGTTTAATCCTTTCAGGGTTTGATTTTAGCATCATTCGGTGACGTCAGAATAACCATTCATCTATGACTAATTGTGTCCCTCCACTCAGAACACCATTTTGACTGCTTGGCCCATGACCAAGGTTCTCCACTGGCTGGTGGGAGGAGCACAGCCTATTTTCTGTGCTGGTTGTGAGCTCCAGGCATTTTCCCTCTGCTCCTTCTGTGTGTTTCTCTGTCCTCCATTAGTTTCCCCACTGCCTTTTGCCAGGTGGACTTCTTGCCATCTCTGGAACTTGCTCTGTGGCAGCTCTCTCTTCT